CGATCGGCACTCTTTCTTTTTTTGTTAATATGACCCTGAGCTTCAAGAATGCCCTCTTAACGCTAACACTGGACACCGGCAGGCTGAGGAGATGAAATGGAACTGTCGTTCCACTTTTTCGCCAGGGCTCTGCGGTGCGACTGGAAGGTCAAAGTGACCTTTTCCGGATAAAACTGAATTTTAGAAAATGAGTTCGACGTACTTTTATTGGTTTTTATCGGTTTAAATCGAAAATGCCGAACCTAAAAACTGACCTTTTTCGGTTAAAACCGAATTTCCGATAATGAATTCGGCCTACTTTTGTCGGTTTTTATCGGTTTAAACCGAAACCTCCGAACCCTACGTATAATGTACCTCCACAAACCGCATAAGTGAAACTTTCACGGCATGTTTCAAACAAATCTGCAAAGCTTAAAAAAAAAAATACAGGAACACCTTGTATATATATATATATATATATATATATATATATATATATATATGAGATGAAATCACCCATATATATATTTGGGTGATTTCATCTCCAATCGGGCAGGCTAAGAGGGTGTAATTATTAATTTTCACGAAAAAAATATATGTTTTGGGGGTATTTCTCAAATGGAGGAGGGCGCAAACCGCATGTTCTCCCGATATTTTGTTCTCGAGTAACGAGCCGTAGAAGCCGCAGCGGCAGAAACTAGTGTTTTTGCCTGCCGTCGCAGGTCGCGTGTTTGACTCCCTCTACTGACGCTATTGTTTTCTCTACACCCTTTTAACTTTTCCCCCTCATTTAATAGGTATTATAAAGATACCTTGATGTATTCAAATATTTTTAGGAATTTGATTGTTTTCTAAAACACATGTCAAACTCGTCGCTCCGGTCGCTTTTCGGTCAAATTTGACCGAAAATTAACGAATTTTAATTAATTAGCCGACTTATCGCAAAGATTAGCCACCCACATAATGTCTGCATGGCCGTATAACCCACCTGCACAAACCGCATTATTGTAGCTTTCACGTTTTTTTTAAACAAATGTGTAAGAATAAAAAAAAAACACCCTGTATATATATATATATATATATATATATATATATATACATATATATATAGGACTGATGTAAGACTGTAAAATTGACAAGTGGAGCTGTAGTATGCGAACGAAGAGGGTAGATTGATTATTGAATTGATTGCATTAATGTTGCTCCGCATTTGGGTAGACGACAGCCGTTGCTGATTTGAGGCCCATGCTAGTTCCAAGTTGCGGCAGTGACGTAGCAGGTCATTTCAGCTTGCAAATATCGGGAAGGGTCCGTCTTGCAAGATGTCTAGGGAACCACTCCTCCCGATGGGCACCGGCTGCACCGTATATATAGGGGGAGTGAGTGAAGATTGGCCACACGTGGGGCCTTGACAGTGGGAGGCCCACGGTTCAAGTCCTTGGCTCGCGGCTCTTTCGTAATGTTCAAACGTAAAGAACAGGTAACCACCAAAATGTATCGGACATTATATATATATGATAGAGAGTTTTAGTAGATCGTTCCGATACCTTTGATAGCCCCGATAACGATACTATGCGTGCGCAAGGGAGGCGGTGGCGGAGTATCGGGTATCGTTATCGGAGTCATGGGAACGGTCTACTAAAACTCTCTATTGTTACATTTCCTTAACTCACAAGAGGACGTCCATAACCAACTCAGGCCAGATTAGAAGTCTGTCACGTGCCGCCTGCACGCGCTTTGTCTTCATCTTCCGTGGTTCCCGGCACGCGCCTCAGCACGCCACTACAATACGAGGTGTTGTCAAAAACTTCCGGGACTGATTTTTTAGCGTAAATAGAGAGGTCAGCACAAAGATGCGCGCGCAGCAGTCGAAGGCAGGGACCTTGCTGCGTCATTTTGCTGAAGGGCGTTGCTCCGTGAACATTTGGAAGTGCCACACGAGCGTGTTTGATTACGTGCACGAGCATAATGGCGATCCCTGGTAGACTGCAAACCAAAGCCAGACCGGACAGGAATTTTATGTCAAACTCGGCAACTATAAAACAGAGACCTTTGAGAGGATTTAGAAGGCTTATGTGAAAAAAATAAACAAAAAACAGTAAGGTGTGTGATGTGTTTTAAGTGGCACTCCCGCGTCAAGAATGCAGAATATCACTGAAGTGAAGAAGTCGGATGAGGTCGCTTTACCGCTCTTTGTCTTCCAGCGATGTCCTGCCATTCCTGAAGCCCGAGTGCCCCTTTAAACTTTTCGCTAAATTCACTCCTTTCTGACACAACCCTACGGAATAATTTCAAAGGTCTGTGTTTTATATTTGCCGAGTTTGACGCAGAATGCATGTTCGCTGTCGCTCTGGTTGGTAGTATATGGTCGCAAAAACTCATGAAACGTAGTTCCCAATGTTCACAGGGCGGCGCCCTCTGGTATAACGAGACACGAAGGTCCCTTCCTTCGACTGCTGCACGCGCATCACTGTGCTGCCCTCTCTCTTTACGCTACAAAATCAGTCCCGGAACTTTCTGATCACACCTCGTGCTTTCACATGTTTTCACATGCATCGTTTTATCCAGATTTTTTGTTTGCTTTGCTTTCTTCTTCTTGACTAGTTTCCGCAGAAATATTTTTTTTTTCTGTATTGGTGCAATGCCCCTGCCGGGGTCCGTAGGAAAAATAAAGGAATAAATGAAAGAAAAAACAAAAAATACGTAAGGGATTTTCTATTTTCAATAAATCAAATTAATACTAAATTTCATGGCAATGCCAGTTTGGGTACCTGCAGGTGCATGTTTTCTTTGAAGCGAGTTCCACGCCTACTGAACTAATGCATTTCTATCTCGAGGGTTACGGCCGATTTAATAAAATGTCTAAATATCCAAGTTTCTCTTAGTTCTTCTTCTTTTTTTTTCTTTCTTTTGTATCGTAAAGCGTAGACGAAGCCATACTTCGATTTATGGTGCACGACGTACCGGCAGTTCGGCCCCTAATAGCCCTCGTTATCACGAGGAGAGGACACGTCGGTCCTATCTTATATGGCTCTTATACGATTCGGCGTCGTCCTGTCGTGCAGTCGCCCGGAGGCGCCTCAGGATGTTACACGAGAGATACGCCCGGATACCTTTTGAGTCAAAGTACGTAACTCTGCGTCGCTCCTCTCGCGTTAACCGCCAACGCGACGTTGTTTCAGTGTACTCGATGCGCACCATGCGTTAACTCTTCGAAAGCGGCGCATTTGCATCTTTTTTGCTAGCATGCATACACCTGCTCTCATTTTAATAATTAGAACCACGCGTTTTAGGGGCGAAGCTCCTTCGGGTCTAGCCTTGTCCGTCCGTCGTTCGTGCTCATATCGATTGCCATCTCATCTGTCTTCTTAAAAAAGAAAAAAAAGTATTTGTGCAGTCGACAGGATTTGAACTTGTACGGGGAGTCCCCAATGGATTTCTAGTCCATCGCCTTAACCACTCGGGCACGATTGCGGGACGAGTAGGGGGCTCTGAGATGTGGTAGTAACTCAAGAGCTGGGGATGTCATGGATGAAACGTTGCATGTAGCCGCTCAACATCTATACAGGAGGGGGCGCTGCGGTCAAATGCGTATATAATCGCGATAAACTTTACATGTATTGGCTCAACGTTTATAGACGAGAGGGCGCTGCGGTCAAATGCTCAAATGCGTATATAACCACGTTCCCTACCACACATTCCATACCAACGCAACCCGGAACTCAGCACTACCTATGAGGAATAAAAAAAAAATCGGCACCATCAGCACTACCTATGAACAAAATCAGTGTCATCAGCACCACCAGAGCTTCGCCCCAATCAACATCATTCACCACGTGGAGATGCGCTCATTTTTTATTGTTTTTTCTTGCTACGTGCTTTAAAATGTAGAGTATAACAAGCCTGTCATGAATACGGGAAATGGGCGCAAGGGAGTTATGTAGAGGCGGATGTTGTGTATGGGCGTTTTCCACGCGTGGCCTTTGGTGAGTGACGTTTAACAATTGCGGTGCTCACACTGTCGGCACGAACAGGTAATTGCGTGTGAAGCTCTACGCTCGTCAATACCTTTTCCTTATGAAATGCTAAAAAGTCACCGATATCTTGTTCGCTCTGTGTCGCGTATTGTGCGTGCTTTCAAGCAGTAAGTTGCCTGTGCGACCGCTAGTGAAACAGTTTCTTGTCTAACCGAAGAGAAAAGTAAATACACTCAGTCGTGTGGACACATGGAAACTACGGAAAACAATATCTATATATTTTAACACTTTTAGGAACCCTTAGCTCACCAGATGTGGTTCGGTCAGGCGATTCGGTTGGTGCTTAAATTTGAGAATAGTGTTGGAGGCACTTGACTATCATGTGCAGGCACGTAGCCAGGATTTTGTTTCGGAGGGGGGGGGGGGGGGGCCGCCCGCCCTTGACAAAATGCTGTATGAGGGTGAGGGGGGAGAGGAGGTCCTATCAAAATGGAAGATTTCGGGGGAGGCCCGGGCCCCATGGGCCCCTTCCCCCCTTTCCCCCACCCCACCCAACCCCCTGGCTACGTGCCTGGTCATGTGAAACTTTCGGACTCGCGCAATCGTGGACGGGTAGAACCAATAGACTGACGCGCGTGATTCGCGGTACCGATCCGCTGTTTATGTCATTACGTAGATCCCCCATTTCACGATTTTGTCACACATCCCTACTGAAAAATACACCAGGCCGAGAGCTGGTGTGACTTGATGTGACACCAGACTTTTTCACGGATGTGATTTGGGACGTTTTCTGGTGTTCTGATGTGACACCAGAAATCTGGTGTGCTGCTGTGACATCAGAAATCTGGTGTGACACCAGCAGTCTGGTGTGCTGGTGTGACACCAGAAATCTGGTGTGACATCAGGCGGTGGTGCTTTGGTGTGACAGCCTCTAGTGTGACATCAGGCTTTGTTGTGGTGATACCAGAGCACCTGTTTACTAAGTTTACTAACTGTTGCTTTACTCAGAAAAAAGGGTACAAAGATAAGTTTAACAATGTTGCTGTCATAACTACTTTATTGAAGCATAATTTTGGAGGGAAAAAATGTCATCTAATTATATAAAAAAATGAAGGGGATGGCCAGTGACGTGGTGACGTTTGAGGCTCTTCCTCAATCCAGCCTAAAAGGAAAAGATCAAGTGTCGTTTCAGCTCTTACAGCCCTTGGTGAAACATGCAGCGACGATAAATAGATTTTCATCTATACTCACGTTTCTTCTACACCCCCACCTCTTTCTCGCCGACGCAGCTCACTAACTTTTTCTGAAAGGTAGCGGCGGATGTTCTTCGCCCTTCCGGCAATGACCCCCTCGTGGGCTGTGGTCTGTCTTGCGTAGTGTTCGAAGAAACCTGCAACATAAGAAGCATAGGTTTAAACAGTGTGCTAAGCACGAATTCAACAGATAATGCCAATATTGTTTCACCACATGAACCACGATAATGTGGATTAAGTTTTCAAGCAAAGTGAAATGAAAACAGTTGCTTATCAACAACAATGGAAAAAGCAACAGTGAAGCATTCATGCTCAAGATAGCTATAAATTAATTAGTAGCTCATGCAGATCTGCACGCCAAGCACAGTAATGAAGGCTATACCCCCTTTCAAGAGCACATCTGCCCTTTAAAATATCAAGCGAACCTATAGTCTGTAGCTGGTCAAGAATAGCAGGAGAAGTCTCTCTCCAGATTAGTGGAGCCGACACTGGAGAAAACAAAACCACAAATCATGGCAAGGAGGGGTGGTTTCCTCCTCTCCACCCTCCTGCTATTCTTAACCTGCAACAGACTACAGCAACCAAATTTAGAAATATTAGAATGCTGTTAAAAACAATATAACAGATTGCTTATCGGGCTTTTTCCCAAGTTCTCAAATTCCCCTACTTTTCCAGATTTTCCCGCACTATTTCGATTGAACTCGCTGGCCGTTACAGAAGGGTGACAGCAATCTGGCAATTGTGCTGAGGTATTGAAATTGCTTTCCAAGTTGCTCAAGAACTTCCTTGAGCATGTCATATACTGAGCACCGTTCAAGCTGTCCGGCACAGGTATAACCGAGCTTGTGCTTTAGAAGATGCCAGGTAGGCTCAGTTCCCATTAAAAGGCTTCTTCGACAGCGATATCACAATAATAATATTGATGGTAATAAGAATAACAACATTATTAATAATTTCATTTTTGAAATAAATGGAGGGGCATAAGGGAAAAAGCCTCCAGTGGAGACTTGACTAACATATTTTCACTCTGAAGACACAATACAGAAAAAGAAGGTCTAAAGCAACTATGTGTGTGAAGCACAGGTCACACATAGACTGAAGTGTCCACCGACAAGGTCCGACAAACCAGGAGCCAGAAGATCGTTCTATTCATCGTCCCTGCAAGAGGCTGGAGACACGTGGTGCTTCCCGTCTGTTTAATAGTAGGTTGCGACGTCTTGCGATGCTTTGAGTAATGTGACGATCAGTGCGTTCTGACACACTGTCATGATGCTTTAATTTGCGAATTTCCCTGGCTTGGCCAACATAAGGGTTTCATTGATATTACCTTCATTTTACAGATTCTTAAAATTCCCTGACACTCTTAGGTTTTCCCTGTCGGTAGAACCCCGTTACTTTACCTTTAAAACGCCACAAGCAAATTATACGAGTCAAATAACTTTTAGAAAGCAAACAAACCCAACTATTTCAAAATTAGATAGACAGGACAATCTTTCAGCTTCAACAACACTTATTTTTGGCTTCAAGCTCAAAGCCCGCCGTACGGAAAAGGGAAATCTTGGGGGAAGGAAAGGAACGGGAGGAGGTTGCCAAACGAGGAAGGGAGAGGGGCTCGACTATAGACGCTTTACACACGCGCCAGAATACTGCCGCCATTGCTGACCTTCTCTTGTTTTACCGAGATACCGAGGCACTGAAATTGGTGTGGACGAGCCTCCACAAAGGCCAATGTTGGGGAGAAAGACAGAATAAAATCTAGGATGGCAATGACCTAGCCTGTTATGGTAATAATGAAGTGAAGTAAACGTAATAAGGGGAAACAAAAACTGAAGGTCAGTTATGGCGGCGCCCATGCACAGCTGCTGCAAAGCGTCTATAGGTGCGGGATAACGGAATGAAAGGAAAGACCGCTTCTGCCGGGGACCTTGTCGCCTGGCCTACTCTGTCAGCGTTCGGCTTCCATTGTGGACCTCAGAAAGGTAATCGCCTTTCTTGAGAGCGAAATGGAAGGGCTGCTTATGGTCTGCGGGCTTGCGGCCATTCGATAGGCCTCAATTATTTCGCTCTCGACTCGCTCGCAGTGGCCTCCCATGGTTGTCGTGCCGGCGAAATTAGGAGCGCAGCCGGGACATTTTCTCCCGTGAATGGCGATCAGGTGCTGGGAATCCGAAGCAGCTCCTTTCGGCGTCCATTTGATGTTCTCGGAGTTGGTCGTTGAGGCATCGCCCCGTTTGCCCGATGTACCTAGCCCCGCGGGACAGGGGGATCACGTACACTTTCTTTGTCATGCAAACGGTGAACTTCCTTGCATAGTTTTTGGTACAGGTGGGTTGTGGGGGTCCCTCTTTGTTGACGGCCCTACACGTGTCGCCGAGTCTCGATTTGTACGTGAAAAGCACTTTTGTGTTGTATTTTGAGGCGAGAGCTCTTAGGCGGCGAGATGTTGTGTGGATGTATGGAATACAGGCTGGTCTTCTGGCGACGAGTGAAGTCTCGGCGATTGGCCTGGACCGGGGGTTTGTAGGCAATTTTTGTGAGGTAGCCAAAATCAAATCTGCAGGGTAGCCTGCCCTCCGAAGCCGTGAGCACTGTTGGCTTAGGCTGGCCTCCCGTTGGTGGGCGCAGGACTTTGTGTATGCCGCAGAAAGCAGGCACCTCACTATGCCGGATTTTACGTTTTTTGAGTGTGCGCTTGAGAATGGAAGCACCGCCCTGGTTGTACACTGTTGGAAAGACCAGCACGCTCCTTTTTCGGAAGGTTGGAGGCAAACCTCCAGGAACTGCAGTTCGCCTTCCGTGGGGTCTTCCTTCTTGAATGATAGGCGCCCAGGCGAAGCGCTGATTGCCTCGACGATAGCCTCCGGCGTTGCGTGGTTATGGTGAATGATTAGATAATCATTGACGTACCTGAACACTTCGCAGTCCTGGGAATTGGTTTGCAGATGTCACTGGATGCCTTGGTCCGCCACGGAGAGATAGATCTCGCTGAAACTCGGGGCCAGACACGATCCGACGCAGACTGAATGAACACGTCCCCATTGTGCTTGACCAGTGTTGACCCGAGGTAAAGCTGGAGAAGTTCCAGCTTTACCTCCGGTCAACACTGGTCAAGCACAATGGGGACGTGTTCATTGAGTCTGCATCGGATCGTGTCTGGCCCCAATTTCAGCGAGATCTATCTCTCCGTGGCGGACCAAGGCATCCAGTGACATCTGCAAACCAATTCCCAGGACTGCGAAGTGTTCAGGTACGTCAATGATTATCTAATCATTCACCATAACCACGCAATGCCGGAGGCTATCGTCGAGGCAATCAGCGCTTCGCCTGGGCGCCTATCATTCAAGAAGGAAGACCCCACGGAAGGCGAACTGCAGTTCCTGGAGGTTTGCCTCCAACCATCCGAAAAAGGAGCGTGCTGGTCTTTCCAACAGTGTACAACCAAGGCGGTGCTTCCATTCTCAAGCGCACACTCAAAAAACGTAAAATCCGGCATAGTGCGGCATACACAAAGTCCTGCGCCCACCAACGGGAGGCCAGCCTAAGCCAACAGTGCTCACGGCTTCGGATGGCAGGCTACCCTGCAGATTTGATTTTGGCTACCTCACAAAAATTGCCTACAAACCCCCGGTCCAAGCCAACCGCCGAGACTTCACCCGTCGCCAGAAGACCAGCCTGTATTCCATACATCCACACAACATCTCGCCGCCTAAGAGCTCTCGCCTCAAAATACGACACAAAAGTGCTTTTCACGTGCAAATCGAGACTCGGCGACATGTGTAGGGCCGTCAACAGATAGGGACCCCCACAACCCACCTGTACCAAAAAATATGCAAGGAAGTTCACCGTTTGCATGACGGAGAAAGTGTACGCGATCCCCCTGTCCTGCGGGGCTAGGTACATAGGGCAAACGGAGCGATGCCTCAACGACCAACTCCGAGAACATCAAATGGACGCCGAAAGGAGCTGCTTCGGATTCCCAGCACCCGATCGCCATTCACGGGAGAAAATGTCCCGGCTGCGCTCTTAATTTCGCCGGCACGACAACCATGGGAGGCCACTGCCAGCGAGTGGGGAGCGAAATAATAGAGGCCTATCGGATGGCGACAAGCCCGCAGACCATAAGCAGCCCCTCCATTTCGCTCTCAAGAAAGGAGATTATCTTTCTGAGGCCCACAATGGAAGCCGAACGCTGACAGAGTAGGCAAGGCAACAAGGTCACCGGCAGAAGCGGTCTTTCCTTTCATTCCGTTATCCCGCACCTACAGTCGAGCCCCTCTCCCTTCCTCGTTTGGCAACCTCCTCACTTCCTCTCCTTCCTCCACGATTTCCCTTTCCCATACTCCCACGGTGCGGGCAAGCTTTAAGCTTGAAGCCGAAAATAAATGTTGAAGTTGAAAGATTGTCCTGTCTGCATCGTCCCTTATGTGTCTCCACTTTCTAAGTGGTTAAAAAGCACCAACATGCTCAAATAATACAAGTGTACACTAAATAGGTTGGCAGAAAGCAGTGGCATGACGTTTCAAGCAAAAAGCTTTCACAAACATATTGACTTAAACTCTATTAACGTGTTTAAGTCAATATGATCCAAAACTAAGAAAAGTAATACGTGCAGTTTTTAAAGTCCTTTTGTGCTTTATATGCTGCTAGACAAGGTAAAGGCGATGACCCCCGTAAATCTGAGGAAACCTTTTCAGCAGCTGACGTCAGCTGTCACCCCTCTACCGCCTGCCATGCTCATCGTACCTGCTGCACTTGTCATACATGCATAAATATGTAGCATGGGGCAGTCCTTGCAATCGCTTCGGTCAATTTAAACAAAGATGTGTGGACCGGCCATAACGTTTTCTTCTGGGACACCATTTATGGTGCTCAATACGAAAAGAGCTTGCCGAGCGAATGGTCTTGTGCCCCCACAGCTGAATCTGGCGCTCCAAGTCGCACATATGCACAGATCAGCCAGGCATGCAATGGCTGCTTGCGGTACGTGCATAGCCCACAAATGATTACTGCAGATTATGACCCTGCAGAATGACTGCATTTATCTTAGTCACAACATAACATTTCTTTTATGGGCAAGATGTCTACCAAATAATTAATCTCCAATTCTCCGATTTTTCAAGATCTGGCAGCTGCTGCCAATCATAGAGTACATGAAGACCATCCACAATTTAAAAGAATTTGTTGCAATTGTTCTCTCATGTTGCTGAAAAACAAATTAGTTGAGCAATATACCAGAATTATTCTAACAATTTTGAGTCGAACTAATACAGGGTTGGCCAAAATGAGTGCTCAAAAGCCACAAACTAGTAAATTTTTAAAAAGACAGATGGGGGATATAAGGGAGGGGGTGTTATGGCTGTTTATGAGACTATCCTTTTATTTATGCCAAGACATAACTTATAATTTGGCTAGTACAGTTCAGACCGTTTTTTCGGACACCGCTATTTCGAACATGTCCACTTAATCGGACGTCTTCGCTGAACCGTCCCATGAAGTTTGCTGAACCATCAGTTATACATTAGCCATAGAGTTAATGTATTACATTGACCGAAATTTAGGACACCATAAAGCTCGTTGCTTGATATTTCGGACATAATTTGCGTGATTTCCTCCGTCTACAGTCATTTAACAGCCACCACAATAATGCCGTGAGCGTAATCACCGTCACTTTAGTTGTTCTGGTTTTCACTTGTAGCCTCGATACCACATACTACGCAGTAAAGAAGCTGAATTGAGGTTACAGTCGGGCTTCCCAGTTCAGCTATAGCCAACATGGCTGCTGTTTGTTCTAATGTTGCGTTTTTCAATGCAACCACAAGAAAATCAGCCGTCTGCCGTTCTTGTGCTGTTTGAGTGAGTGCTTGAGTTCAGTTTTCTGTCCAATGGTAGTGAAGTAAGCTCGGTGGGCTAAACATTGTCTCCAAACAGTGCCAAATGACACCAACTTCATATTTGCTGTGTGCACCATCGAAGGTGCAACCAAAGCACACCACCGTGATCAACCATATCAACAAACATGTGAGAAGTGACCAACATACAAAGTTGCACGAGAATTTAATATTGACATGAAGCAAGTGGCCAGTGCGAAGCGAAGTGGCAGACATTTGATATCGTGGCTGAAATCTTTTTTTTCGGACTGCTTGATTATTTTGACAACTTGGGGTCCCTACGAGTCCGAAAAATCGGTCGGCGACTGTATAGAAATTATGGTTTCAAGACCTAATCTGCTTCTCTGTTCGAGTCTTGTCATCCTAATGTCTTCATTAAACAGAGAAAGTAGGTGAGACATGCCACTGGATAGGGCTTAGCAGTTTTTCATTTGCATGTGTGCATAGAGCAGTGGTCTCACTATCTTATAAGGCAGGTGCATGGCATTGTATGAACAAGGTTCAGCTAGCTTAGACACCAATTTTGGGTAAAATTTTTTGCACAAAACTAATGCTGCCTCAACCTAGCCCGCGAGGAGGCGCCAAAAAGGTAGCATATTTTAACACGGAGCTTACCCTTCTACCTGATTTGCCCCTTGTGACCATTATATGTTACTATAAAATGCCCCAAAAACTATGACTTTAAACCAAGCAATTTTATATGTCACGTTTTACATTTTTTGCCTGTTTCTGATTATAATGCTGTTATGAAAAAACTTGATGTTTGGCCCCAACTATTTGAGCTTGAGGGTCCTTGGATCACAAGAGCCACAATTCGGGGCATGCGGCTTGCGAGCCACGGTCCGCTCACCCCTGGCCTAATCCAACTTGCATTTTCAGAAATGTCTAGGTTGGCCCAGTCTCTATTAACCCTTTAACTGCTAGGTTTTATTTTGCAGGCGTTGGACAGTCTGGGCTTGCAAATTAACAAAGTTGTCTAAATAAAGTTTACACAAGCTGTTAGCCGGTGACATCACAAGGCAAAAATCTGTTTTTGTTGATTTTTCATTAACAGTGCCACACAAAAATCTTGGCAGCCTGAGTTTAACCGTTGAGTGGTGGGAAGTTGCATAGGAGTGTGCCTGGGTGTACTCGTACACACTACTCGGGCACACTTCCAAACATACCGTACATCTGGTATGTTTGGCCAACAGCAGAAGGCATGAGCGAGGAATCAACAGAAGCCGACTACTTCCTGCTATGAAGTAATCCTGAATGGCACAATAAAGAAATAATAGACCTGGCAAAATTAACAGCGACTTACTACGTATGGCTTTCACTTTCTGGGGCGTCATCGGGGCTTGCGGCGACATGTTGGGGTTCGCAGCGATGCTCCGGTTTGAAAGGGTACCAGTTACGCTGCGGCGAATGAGGACCTCCGACGACCATATAGCCACTGCCGCCTTCTTAACAAATAAAGCGTCCCTTTCTGCACCCAGCAAGGTCTCGAAGGTGTCCTTGTGCAGCCAAACATTTTCGCCACAGTGCATCTGTACAAAACATGACAAAAATTACATTTTATAAAGAAGCAGGAATAGTGGCTCTTCTCAAGTAACAGAAACATTTCAAGAGCGATAAAATAAAACCTCTTCAGTGGGCCTCTTCCAAGGCAATTGATAATCCAGAAGGAGCACAAAAGCAATGCTCTGCAGCACACAATGGAGACTAGAAATTATGGTTGGCTCCTGTGGCATCTGAGAAAGGAGGAAAAGGAAAAAATTGGAAGTGAGAACTCATTGTCATCCTTTTAGGAATAATCATTGTTTTATACTTCCCATCTCTCCCTGCTCCCCCTTTCTATAGTGCCACGGGCAGTTCCGCAAACCTCAGAAATCTCCATTGTGCCACCAAAGGAATCCACTTGCTGGTATTTGTCTTATCTTCCAAGAAGAAAAAAAAAAGTTTCCAAAACCAACTTTTTTAGTGGTAACCAACTTACAGGCTCTAAACATCTTACAAATCATAAAATTACAACCATATGCATCTCTTTCCCCATTAAAATTGTGGCCAAACACTCTGGCATGCCACCTTTTTTGCTGCAGATCGCAGAACTCGAACCCCGCCGAACGATGAACGAACGAGCGGTAGTTTCTCGCGTAAACTGATCCGCACGTGGGTTTTTTTGCAAAAATTTTAGTTACCTTTACAGTGGATGCTTAGGCTGGGCTAGAGTCACTGTATGGGTTCCCAGAGTAACGCATTCCTTTTGTTTTCGCGTTTTGCCGACAAAATACTCACTCTAGCTGATCATGTTTTGGCATGGTGAGCATCATTGGACGGTAGTAATCACGTGACACAAGCACTGCTAGACTCCCCTCCACAAGCACTTCAAGTGGCTCTAATCGCCACCCTTGGGTCCAGCAAACACCTGCACACACGCACGCTCTGCTGCTCATCGAACGCACGTTTACGCACAGTTTTTGTTGTGTACTTAGTGGCACAATGCCTGCTTGTTGCGCTTTTGGGTGCAGCAGCAGGTCGAAGGATGGAAAGACGACTCTTCCGGATCCCGTTTAGAAAGAACAAAACTGCAAGCCGGAGGAAGATGGCTTGGCTGGCCATAGTAAAACGGAAAGATTTCGAGCCCACTGCAACAAGCAAGCTTTGTGAGGTAAGTCCCGATTACAGGTGATTCATTCTGCATGTCGCGGAATGAACCAGCTCTTTCAACACGCTCCAATGCATATCACTATTGCCTTCATACACCCGTCGACACGTGGACCCAAGATGGTGGCGCCATGGTTTCGGTTTCAGCGTCGCGCTGCGGTTCTAGAACGAACCTTCGGAGTTTCGTTACTCTGGGAACCCATACAGTGACTCTAAGCTGGGCTGTCGTAGCTACCTAATCTCTCATTGTTGAGTCAAAGATACCTACGAAACGTAATAGCGTTCCACAGGTGATAAGGAATCGCAAACTGGATCCACAGAAAAATAAAAAATTTGAAATAGCAAACTGGATACATGAGATAATGGAAAAAAAAAAGTCCCCGCAAGTATCGCAAGCGCACACACCAAGATGCAGACGGGCAGACACATCACTCCCGCGGAGGAAGGCGAGAAGAAAACATAGTTTAGATGTACTTTCATAGTCCCAAGCTTAAAGGGGCACTCTAAAGCTTTCTGATATGGCCAATTTATGACAATATCACAATCTATGTGCTCCAACCATCCCAAAAACACAACAGTTATAATCATGTGCACTTTTTCACTATTAGAAATCTGATGAAAGATTGCGAATCTCAGATGTACAGCTGGTGCCATTGAACCCAGCAGGACCTGGTCGAACGATGGATAAGCTCGTAAGCCAATCGTGAGCAATGGCCTCCCGTGCGGACAAACAACCGACCAGTTCTGCTCGTCCGCACAAAAAGCCATCGCTTACGATTGATTGCCTGACAAGCACCATTCGTCGTTCGACCAGATTCAGCAGGGTTCAGTGTGCATACCTGCCAACCTAGCAACATAAAAATTCGGGAGACCGCCGCGCGGGGGGGGGGGGGGGGGGGGGGGGTGTTGAAACATTTTTGTTTTTTTTAGTTTGACAAGAAATTCCATGAAGAGGCACTCTGTGCGAATCACTGTCTTCGCAGTTGTTTTGGAGTAAACTGCCGGTAATGCCCTGCCCTTCTACAGCACGAGCATGGTTCTGATGCTTTCGTGAAGTGATGTGTATCTTGATGTGTCAAGCTTGCCGCCGTGCGAAACGCTCCCACATCACAGGCGCACAAGGCACAGAATTCATACTTGTCAGCTTTTTGCGAAGCGACAAAGCACGGAAACTCAGTCGCATATGATCTTAGAAATACTTGCAAGTACTTCTTCTAGCCTTTTGAAAGTGCCATCAATCGTTCCAACAGATCAGTGGTTCCAACTGAACTCGGGGAAACACAAAGAGTAGTTCGACGTTCCGCACCTCACTCGACGACCTGACAAAGCCAACTGAAGCCTAGCGCACTCATGATCATATAAGCCGTGTTCCAAAATGCGCTCTAACTTCAGGAGTAGAGGTTTCGTACCTTGGCGTTTGAAAATCTACCCTCGTTTTATGCTACTGCTCTGAGTTGTCACGTGGTAACCCGCCGGAGTAACCTAAACCTACTCTCGAGTAACTCGCAATGACACACGCGTGATGATTATAGCAATAAGGCATCATAAAAAAAAAAAAAAATTACGGTGGACATTTTTTGGGAGATCTGAGGTCGCGTCCGTACAATCGGGAGATGTGATCAAAATTCGGGAGGCTCCCTGAAAATTCAGGAGAGTTGGCAGGTATGAATGTGCCATCCGTAAGCCTTCAATCCGCTATATTTCATCAAATGTTTTGTAGTGAAATAGGCTGCCCATGATTGTAATATTTGGATTTTAGAGTACTTAGCGCACACGGATCAAGTTACAGGCTATGTCGGGGGTCAACAACCTTTTCCTGCAACAGGCCGAGTTGCCACAAGTTGGACAAAGAGCGGGATGGACATGGAGAGGCCCTTTCTCCAACTTGGCCTGGTGATGCAGTAAGCAACTACTAGAGAAAAAGACACCGTCAAACTAGTATGATGCTCTACCGTCCTAGGCTTTTGGCTGTTGGTAGGCATCACAAGTAAATAAATAAATAAATAAATAAATAACAAACAGATGGTTTCTTCTTTTAAATACCCTATAGTGTGAGGTTTGGTGCTAGATACTGGAAAATACATGCACATAAATTAAAGTTGCTAATGTAATCTGACAAGTTGTTATTGGGAGGAGCTAATTATACGAACCTGCTGTTGTATCTATGGGTTGCACTGACGTCACATTGCATACTTTTGACCACCATGTAAGAGGAGGAGAGGGAAGCTGCTTTTGTAATAATTTTGAGTGAAGGGTTAATCTTCTGGGAGGAGAATAGTGACGCCTGTGCAAATCCGGGAGGCACAAAAGAGGGTCCTGATAAGAGGAGAGCTCTTTCTTGCCCTATTCTCTGGTGGTCAGCTGAGCACTCTTTGATGGACGTCACATGCAACCGATGTATAAGCTTTACAAGGTGTCGGAGGTCAAAATTGTTGCATGGTCCCAGAACATTGCATGCATGAGGAAGGATGGGAGAAGAAAGAGGAAGGGGGCATTCCTAAAATTGTGCCGTGTGCCAGATGAAACTGCCTAGCGGACCAGACCCGGACTGCTGACCCCTGCTCTACTCTTTATGACAACAAAAGGTGCACCTCATTGCAACATACTGCAAATTACATGACCGGCGGTAGCCGTCATCTCATAGACAAAGGAGGGGGGGGGGGGGAAGGTGCATGGTCGAGAGGGAAAAGGAGCAAAGAGGTAGATATAGGAAGGGAGGATCAGGTCAAGTATAAAGATCGAAGGCCAAAAACACATGATTGTGCAAGGGAGGGAGCAGGAAGGGCAAAAGGGTAGTAAAAGAGAGGGGACTGAGGATGAGGTGACCCGGGGAGCGTGAAGGAAGAGGAAGATAGAGGGGAGATGAGCGGGGAGGGGCAAGTAGGTAGAGAAGATGGAAAAATGAGGGGACAGAGGGAAGAGCAGACAGACAGAAGAGGTGAGCGAGGTGAGTGGGAAACAATGAAGGAGTGGAGAGGAGAATGGGGTGAGGAGGGGTGTCCAAGGATCCCAGGTTGAGATCAAAGGTCAAAGGCTCTGAACACAGAACCGCATGAGAGATAGAGGAGGGAAGGATGGGAAGGGGAGCCAGGGGGCTAAAGGCCACAAACATGCAATCATACGAGGAAACGAGGAGAGGAAGAGAAGAAAGGGGCACGGAGGGGGGATGGGACAGGGATAGGGTGAAATGAAAGGCGACTGAGATGGTGAGGACGTCAAGCACAAAAAATAAAAGGCCAACGTTAATATGGAGTGACGGTCACACGGTCACACTGCGTTGACCACTAAAAATGAAGAGCCATGTATGGCTATTGCCGTAAAATAAGTGCCTTCGGAAACCTCTTTTGTGATCTATTCAACAGTAGTGTGAGTTACTTGGGAAGTGACTGGTGCAATTGCATGGCTTTTTGAAGACACTGTGGTTTGCTTGGGCATTCACACAGCATAAGCACTGCTTAGACCTGTACACATAGTATGCATACATACCCTGAGATGACCAGCTGATGCCCTCCTTACTCAGCCTATGTGTCATAACAAATTCTGTCCCAGTGTTAGTGTCCTCACAAAAGAAGACGATTGACCCCAAGCTCGTGCCACCACCCCCGTGGCGCACCGTTTTTTTTTTTGCTGGGCAGGCGAATTTGCCAGACATATGTTAAACGTCCCTTTTTAACCTTCACTGGTCCTGGTTTCCCATGTTGAGGCTCTAACACCTGGAACATTCCTGCACTTTATGAATTAAAGGGAAGCTACGGAGCTTCTTGGAAAAAATGAGTTAGAAGTGAATTCTAGTGTATTTTTACCCCGTGAACCCGAATACCCAAACCATTTGCTGCGTAAGTATTGTTAAACGCGAGAAAAACGCGAAAGACAGTCGCTGTCCATGACGTCATCGACGGCTCTTTTGGCTGCCCAAGGCTAGGGGGGCGGGGCTTCAGCCCTATTTTGAAATTGCTCTTGTGGCTCTCCGGCGCGTCGCATTGAAATATAATTTTGATATCTGTTATTCTAAAGGCCAAATGAACCCAATTCAAGCGTTTTTTCTCAAATGTAGAAGTGCCCCATCTTCCCTTTAAATTTTATCTGCAGTCTAGGCTGCTTTCTTTTGGCTAAGCTTTTACAGTATATTGGAGTACCGAGGAGTGCATATATTAGTCTACCTGCACTAAATGAGAGGTCTTATCCTTTGGCTCTCTTGCCCTGTCCGGTAGTACAAATTCTTGCCATTGTGCCTGAAGACTGATGTGATACAAAGAATACGCTAGAAAGATCATCTAATTTATTTTGCTGGCTCACCATTCCATCTGACCTTTCATGGCCCACAGGAAGTGAGTTGGCCATGGCACAAGGCTCAGCTGCCCGTGAAGCTGCATTGGCAACAGGCAGGACAGGAGCGGGGGGGTTAGCAGTGGCCAGGACGAGAGCAGGAGGGTTTGGAGCAGGCAGCTCATGGGGACGGGGGCCAGCAGCACGGGGACCAGCAGCACGGGGGCCAGCAGCAGAGGGGCCAGCAGCAGAGGGGCCAGCAGCAGAGGGGCCAGCAGCAGAGGGGCCAGCAGCAGGGGGGCCAGCAGCAGGGGGGCCAGCAGCAGAGGGGCCAGCAGCAGGGGGGCCAGCAGCAGGGGGGCCAGCAGCAGGGGGGCCAGCAGCACGGGGGCCAGCAGCACGGGGGCCAGCAGCAGGGGGGCCAGCAGCACGGGGGCCAGCAGCATTGGGGCCAGCAGCAGGGGGGCCAGCAGCAGGCAGGGCAGCAAGCATGCCTATGGTTGGTACCTCAACAACCCGTCGCACTGAAGGTGGCAAAGCATGGGGTTGTGAGGCAGGCAGTCCCCTGGCAGGCTGCAGGGCAGGGGCAGGGAGCTGTGCAGCTGGCCGGACAACCTCAGGTGCCATCACAATTCTGTGATCATGGCCACCTACCAACACCTGGTCCTCTTCACTTCCATAAAAACCTGTACAACCAAAGATATTCCATGTGGTGCACCACAGCTGCTGTAGCTGCAATGTAACTGAGTTGCCAAGAACAGCTTTTTCTTGCCTAGATCAAATTAAAATACTGTATTCCTTTTGCATACCATAGCATCTATATCATCAGAGCTCGAAACACTGCTTTCCAGAAAATGGTCATTTTTAACCGATAGGGGATGCTATCTGTATTTTGCAAGCGTTCCAAGATTAGTAAAAGGTAGACGCAAACTAGTTAAAGCGTGCTGACACTTTTGAGTGCAACCATGCAAGATATTCAAGCATTCTTCCATCAGCGTCCCTGCATGCCTTGCACAATAGGCTTCATTCCAAAAATATTCATCTGTTCCTCTTACATTTCCAGTAACTGCGCTGTTAGGAGGAGGGGAAATTCAGTTTCTTATTAATTTAGTGCTATGTCACGACAATGTGCAGCAGCTTTTCCACATGGTATAATCAGCTGACCAGCAGATGATTGACAGTAGTTTCCCATCATCTCACATGCTACAGCAATAGCAATGCGCGAGCTCAAAACTGTGTTGCCACAGGGCGAGGGACCACACAACCTAAAACAACAGTGGCTAAAGATGCAAAAGCTATCGCAAGCTGATAGTGCTTTAGCAAGCACTATCGGTAAGTGAAAATGCTGGTTCATTGATTTATATAAAGACTTATTATTGTAAGTCAAACAAAAAATGGATACAATTCATAAGACGACCACGAAACTGCCTGCAGAGCCCGCGCAGCAGTGGCAGACTGCGGTTAGCGATAACTGCAGTTGACTTCTGTAACCGTGATTAAGCTTAACCATGGTTATGGCTGCCCACGACAGGGGTATAACTAGGGTGTGCATTCTCCGGTTTTAACCGAAAAACACCGATAAACATCCGTCGGTGACGAAAATATAAAATCGGTTAAAACCGAAAAACACCGGTGGTTGGATATTTTCGCCCTGGTTAAAACCGAAAAACACCGGGCGTTGCTAGTTTCCGACCTAGCGAAACCCTTTCCCCTTAGAGGTTCGTCGAACGTGTTATCTCGTGGATCCTGCATTCTTCCAGTGTTTATACATGGCATGCAGGTGGCGTCAGTCCGCCCTCCTTTCTGGGGGTCAAAAGCGTCTAGTGAACGCAGTGGAAGCTAAGCTCTCATATGCCTTTCCCCTATTGTGTCTCCCATGGCCCCCTTTTGTGGAAAAATTAACACAAAGGAGGGTAGGCTCTCACGTGCCTCTTCCTCATTGTGTCTGGCCAAGTGATGTTGGTGCAAGCCATGTATTCAGAGGTTGCTGTGGTTCCTGGAAGACACTGCCAACGTCCGTGTCGTACAGGAGCGTGCGTTTTCATAATTGCGGGTTGCGAACCGCAAGGAACGTGCTGCCATGACGGCAGCACGTTCCTTGCGTGTAGATGCAAGCATGAAAGTATGCTTGCATCTACTATAATAACCAAGTGTGAGAAATAGTTGCTTCCTAGAGAAGAAGTGTGTGAACTATGTGAACAAAACTGGAACTCTCTGTCTGTGATCAATCGCTTTTTTTTCACCGATAATCACCGTTTTTAGCCTCGTCGTGAGGCATTCCACCGAAACACACCGGTGTTTTGAAAATAAATAAGCACCGAAAAACATCCGCCGATTTTTCTCACAAATAAACACCGGAAAGTACACACCCTAGGTATAACACAGCAGACCTAGCTCCTGTTAGCCCGCTAACCATAGTTAAAACAGTCTTGTTGGCAGGCTCAGTTTGTGCTTGCTAACCACGTCAGCATAGTGGCATCTGGCACTTCGCCACCATCTGCGAGCATCGAAGATGCACTTAATTTTTCCGAATGCAGGGGGTGCCATGTAGAAAGAAGTGTAGTTCAAAATATTGTTCAAGGAGCCATACTTAAGGGTGGGAGCTGCTTTTATGATGATTGAGACACACCCTGCAATGGGGGAATTCTATTAAAGCTGCCGATGGAAGCACGAATAGAATTCTCCCAGAGCCAGCACAGAAGCCGCACTGTAGCCGAAATGCCAATAACAATGCGACCCCTGCACTTTTTTTTGTCATTTGTTTAAAGCATTTTAATGCTTTCATAATTAAAAAGAAAAAAATGCCTGTTATCACTAGTATATTAAATGCTTATAACAGTAAAATGTACTTTGATAATTAATATGCTGCAATATCTAGATAGATCATATAACACCACACTAGGTTTAAATAAATATGCACCCACCAAATCATTAAATAAGGAAACTACATTTCGAGACCTACTCGTTCTCTTCTTCAGGAGTTGACTGCAGCCAAGGCCGCCGAGGAGCAGTATTTGTTTTCTTCTTCTTCTACGGTGGTGCCTCACTTTTTGCAATGGTAAGACACCACCGACAGACATAGTTGCAGTCAACCCCTCATGAAGGGACAGTGTAGCTCTTGAAACGTATGGTTCCTTAATTGAGGATTCGGTTGGTGCATATCTCTTTATTTATAATAGCTCCTTGACCAGAAAGACTCCCCTCAAATGTTTCCTTTCAAGTTTTCACACTGGGTTTCACTTTGGCTTTAACTGAGATCAAGGGTAAGAGCATCTCAGTTCGCAAACTGCAGTTAGCCAACGTTAAGGCAGCCAGGGTAATTATGGTAGTAGTCATCATTTTCATTCTGGGACAAGAGATAACTACAATTAGAGATATATGCTTTGCTAAACTGTCATGCAAACAAATCAATGAAAAGTTAATTTAAGCCAGAGGTGACTACTATAACCATAAAATAACAATTATTTTACAGAGCGGAACCTTGTTTAAGCTAGATTACATAAAAATAAACTACAACTAACCCTCTGGCACATGATGACTTGTGGATGCGGAATGGAAGCTCTTCGTACTCCTATTGGCTCTGCTGTCTGCAACCCAAATATAAAGGATGATTTAAAAACACAAAGATGGTATGAAATAAAGTAGGCTTGTACCTTTTGCAAGCACCTTGGCACAGAGTGCTTCTTGCAGCTTATAATTTAGGTGCCGTAGGTGTTCATTTTCCAGTTTCAGCTTTTTCATTGAAGGGCTGTCCTCGTCACCAGAGCTGCTGAGTGTCCCCAGCAGCTCCAGCTCTGCCATCTGCTTAGCGTCTTGCCGCTTCCGCTTCTTGCTTTTAGGGGCCTGTTAAAAGGTGCATACTTGTTAAAACAAATATGTCAATAGCCCATTGAGCACATCCTTAAACTAGAGGGGACCGGTGGTAGCAGAATAGCATTAAACATCACACAGTCATGAAGTGAATTTCAGGTGCAACGACTTCAAAACAGCACATCATACAGAGCACGACTTCTAACATGATTGAAATTTTGGGGGTTTACATTCCTAAAAAAATTACGGTGTGGGTCAGCATTCTCTCCCGAAATCTTTGAGAGGTAAACATTGAACAACCACCAGGGTGGAGGCCACAGAAAACAGAGTTGTAGGCAAAGGACGATATTTCAGCACCTTTCCGAGCGTCATAGCTTTCATAGCTTGAAAAATAATTTTGACCATCTGGTGCTGTTTACTCGAAGTATGGCTAACTTTAACCACAGTTAAAAGTAAACCATAGTACCTAGGAGGGGGTTTTAAAACCATGTGACTAACCAGTAAGGACAAGGGTAGGAAAAATACCTGCAGAAGTTCTATTTGACAAACGGGCTGCAGTTCTGGGGCCCGAAGCGATAGATAATTCAATGTGCACTCTTTATTTACAATGGCAAGTCATGATGTCACAGTCAAAGCAGAGAAAATGACCCGAAGAAATGACTACTGAAGCTGAAGCCAGCTCGCCAGCTGGCCTCCGTAATCGCTGCCTAGGTTAGCGGCTCCCCATCACTATGTTCAGCTCTTGGGCCGTCGGTGTAAGAATGAAAACATATTATGAAGCTTTTGTCATGCTTTAATGGGCGTTTAAGTGCGCTCCTCCACTCCTGCTCTGACGCTACAAGTTTCATACTTTGAGCACGGCAACTAAACAGAACATTGCATACATACCGAAACTATTGACAAGCCACAGTCACTTCCGGATGTAGAGTTAAGATACAGCCGTAGAATGTTATGGAAATGGGTGGAGAGGATTGCAATTGCTTGAGAAAAAATGCAAAAGCAGCTCATAAATGAGTGCAACCACAGAGTTTAAAGTGAATTAAGTCAGCAGTGCTATAAACTTTGTTATTGAATGTTTTGCGAGAAGAAGGCTGGTATATCATAGCTGATTAGTACACTACCGTTCAATGAATCGCACACGGTGCTTCTGACCATTTAGTGAACGGAGCGCCAAACTCTCGTGCTCCGGAGCATGTACTTAACGCTCCCAATAATTCACAGCAAGGGCACAGAGATAATGTGCTGAGCTTTAGAAATGCGAGTCGCATCTCATAAACATTACCCTCGTCAAAGCCTACATGCTCTTTTTGCATTCGTGATGTAGCGAACAGTTAAAGGGGCACTAAAGAGGTTTCTGAAGACACTTGTTTTTGCTTTTATACAATGTTGTGGGTACCAATTGCTATGCATTCCAACTTTCAAATGACAAAACCACTTATTAAGCCTCTGACAATAGAAATACACGGATTATGTTTTCCCTCGCCTTCCTCGGAGGGAGTGATGTGTCCGCTCGTCTGCTTCATGAAGCAATTCGCTTAAAAAATAATTGTGTTAGTTTTTGTTTCAACACAGTAGCAATAGACCCTTTCCGGAATTCAGTCTGGCCACTTTGATCACTATCATCATCTGAAAAATAGCATATGTGCTATACTAATGGCAGTGTTCTGTTTACTGACGAAGGAAGAAGTTGAAGATGCTCCCAATCAGATAATTCGAGGCCTATACATTCTAGACGTTAGCGCGACGCAAAGTAGGAATTGGATGCAAGAGCTGTGTAAGTGTTCATTTCTATCTCAGGCACAGTGAATCTGTTAGTAGCACACACTCGGCTCCAAAGCTCCTTGATGTATAGAACTTCATCAAGGCGTCTATGTGGGTTGGCGCTTCGTTCTGACTGGTAGCATCGTTTTCGCCATCAACATTGAAAGAGATTGAAAAATAATTGTACGGCGAAGCGCAGATTCTCGTTTACCGTTGACTTGCGAAAGCGACGGTGCCCCATAAAATGCTGCAGACCACAGGTTCCATTGCCGCCATTAGTACGGTAAAAGTTAAACTGTCATTTGAGTAACCAGATGGCACTGAATTCCGGAAAGGGTCTATTGCTAAAAAAAAATATTGAGAGAATAAGCAGTTTTTACTTCCTCAACTCGCACCCCAATCAAACGGCCAGGTGATCCACAGCCATGCTTTCACCCACCAGTGTTCATCATAGCCACGTGCTATGTTCGCCAATGCAGACTACACATGCTCTGCTCCAAGAATCGTTAGAGCTCGGTAATTTTCGCAAAAGCAGTGATCAGACACAAACCTTCGATGCACTGTCATCTGAGGGGCGAACTAACATGACCAGTTCCCCGTCGCTTGTACTGGACCAGACTGAACCAACAAAATGGCTGCATTACTTCGTCACGACGAAAAAGACCATTTTGTGTGCTCTTAAAAGCGCGTCCCAACTTCAAGCATCAAAAACAGGGAAAAAAGGACGCGAGTAGAACAAATCAATGTGATTTTGTTTTGTCTCAATCATAGCACTTTGCAAGTCAGTTTGGGCTGCTTGTAGCTTTGCTATTTCAGATTTCATGAAACAGTGCCAAATTTTCTCAATTTCAGAGGTGCCTTTGTTTCAAGAAGTTTCTACGGCATGGCAGACATACTGCTAAGGACTTATATGTATAAGTAGGTAGGCATATTTATGCAAGACGCATTACCAGCCTTCTGCATTCTGCAGTAGAACCTGTTGTCGAAGTAAGCACCCTCCTAAATGCAGGGGTACACCACACAACTCCTTCTATAACTTAGCAGAGGATGGCCTTACCGCTTCTTGTTTAGATGTCTTTCGCTGTTTCGTTGGAGCTGCACCTCGCCTCTTTTCAAGGTACTCATCCATTTCCTCTTTTGAATCTTAAAAGTTGGAAAGCACATGGAAATAAGAGAAAAACCATTTGTGTAGAAAAGTGGTGACTAAGTATAGAGGTTTTTTGCGCGACACAGGGGACAATTACAAGCGAGTAGACACGGACAAGCTTTTGATAACAACTAATAGCTTTTGATAACAACTTTTGCTAAAATAGTACCTCGAAATTGAAGCTTTTACGACTTGGTCAGTCAGATTTTCTCTAGCATACTGGAAAAGCGAGTTCTGGGAAAGCTCAAAACGGCAGCCGAAATTTAGCTAACAACTTGGCTCGCCAGAAAAGCCAGAGGCATGCTCAAACAATGCATATTTTGAAATGCAATACTGTTTTGCAGTGTACCAGCTGTATGATACGAGCTTCATGTGTCCCAACAAATGGTCAGGTCCCATTGGGGATCTTTTTGGAAATAATTTTTTTAATGATCCCACCACCTTATGTTGCCGTTTCAATTTGCAGAGTAGTATACTGCAGTTATGTGAACACTACAAAGCAGCAATAACAATTCCTGTTGGCATGTTTTTTTTGACAAGAAGTACTATTTTTATTGGTTAAACAAAACCTGCCTACTTGTCAAAAACTCATTTGCAGATTGCCCCAATGCATCAACAGTATTCCCGATCATCCTGCCTAAAATTTTTGTTGCCATATTCTGACAGCAAGCTTCCATGGTGGTGTAATAATAATAATTATAATAATAGTAATAACAATAATTATTATTATTATTATTCATTCGGACTCAGGAGAGCTGCGGTGCCTCATAGAGGCTAGTAGCAACTAGAGCCACTTTATGCTCTATACAGTCGCTCAAGTAGCAACCACAAAATCACCACTGGCTAAACAGCCAGTGGTGATTCTGAATGGTAGCGGAGCACCAATGATCCCCCACAATTCCTTGACTAAAAATCGCTGTTTAAATACTGTCTTGAGATTACAGTTTAGTAGATAAAAAGCTAGCTAAAACAAAAAAAAAGGGCATGGAAGGATTCACGGAGTCCATCAACGAAGTATACTATCGGGTAGACCAGACGTCAGGCCGAGACTTAAACAAATTGCAATAAATTGCAAAAAAAAAAAAAAAAGGAATTTGTAAGCTACGACACTCTTGGATTTAATTTGCGAAAATGTAAAAAAAAAACAAAAAAACAATAAAATATATATGGGCCAACATAAGCTTAAAGGGGCCCTGCAATCATATTTAAGTGTCTACCTTTTTTGCGGTTTCCACGTCTCTTGGGGTTCAGGCAAGCAAGCAGGCACGGAGAGAGTAACTAAGTATCAGTGCATCATATTTTAACCGGATGACGCGGAAACCTCCTCCACCGACGGGGGCAACCCGCAATACCAAAAGCGCGCGATATGCGACGTCTTAGGTCCTGGGCTTACTACTGGTCAGAGCCGCTAACAGCTTCTTTTTGGTCGAAATACAAAATATAAGTTCAATTATTCATGAAAGTAGTTTTTGTTCAGTATTTTAGATCAGAAAAGAAACAAAAACACTTTAGAAAGTACGGAAACAAGAAATGACCCGTCGACATACCCGCCACCAACCGGTGGAAAAGGCATACTAGAATTAAAACTTGTGTTTGGGCGAGTTGGTTCATACTGATTTAAAAGGTTAAAAAGCGCAACACAACAAGGACAATGAAGACACGAAGACGACAGGACGGGCGCTAACTCACAACTGATTTTATTAGAAACAAGTGACAGTGTTGTTTCTAATAAAATCAGTTGTGAGTTAGCGCCCGTCCTGTCGTCTTCGTGTCTTCATTGTCCTTGTTGTGTTGCGCTTTTTAACCTTTTAAATCAGCATACTAGAAAGTAGTAGTGGGATGAGGCGTCAACACGGAAAGGTCCCGGATGTACGCGGCGGCGCTGCGGTCGTATGCAGAGGAGGATCCGACCGGCTCCAAACCTTCCGAAGGCCTTCGGCGAGAAGCTTTGTCTTGCGGTTTGGCCGTTTCGCGGTATGGCAGCACAAAGGGGCTCCCATTCTGAACTGATCTTTACCCCGTGTTTGCTTTCGTTTGTGGCCAATGAAGTGTCATGTCGAATTAGTTTAATCGCGCAGCAAATGCAATGAGAGCCGCTCTGGCCGTTCGCTGCATACAGCCTATCCAGAACATGCTTTAGTGGCGCCTTCTCGCGCCGTCGACACGAAGTGCGGAAGCTGTGAGCGCTCGCTGAGCCCACTACCCCTCCTCTAGTTCTCGGCCACGCAAACAACCAAGGATACCATGAAGGAGGTTATTTTTACTTGTTTTTGCAATTCTAATTTGTCTATAACTTTTAAAATAAAGCGAAATTCGAGAGAAGAAAAGTTTCATTAAGTTACTACGTTCAGTGCACTCAGGTTCGGTGCAAATTAAAAACCAGTAAAAAAGTCCTTGCAGGGCCCCTTTAAGCGTTTTCCTCACCAAGGCTGGAAAACGTTCCTGTGGGCCACTAGAACATTTGATAGACAAACAGGAAACGATGGCAAGGAGATCACTTTTTCTTTCCATTGCACTTGTTTTGTTTAATCAAACGTCCCAATAGTCCCCATGACGACGCTTTTTGGTTCCATTAGGATACATAAGTGTCTTGTTTTCTTTTGTAACTTTTGACTGAGGAAAAAATTATTTTTTCTAAAATATAATTTCACAAATTAAATTCACCACCTAGCCGAACTTACGCGGCAAATTACAACGTCGCAGCTTACAAATCCAATTTTTTTTTTTTTTTATTTAGGTCTCGGCCCGACATCGGGACCACCCGGTATCTACAGATCGTATAACCGAAAGCTTACACGGCTCATTATCCCCGGCACCTCACCCGGAGTTTAAACCCGCCACCTGTGGGTACGAACACCGGCGCTTTGCCCCCGAGCCACCGAAGCCTTTACTGGCTAAATAACTGCCTTGCGCGGGTTACCCACCAGAAAGAAATTGATTTGTGTGTGTGGATGCTAAGACCGCGCGATCCTTGTCTTTACGCTTGCTCGTCTCCGTACCTCATCGCTCGCCCGTATTTGTGGACCGAGGCACAGAAATTAACAAAAATTTCGAGCAATCCAAGAGTCCACATATTCGTGAAATAGCTTATTAGTGAAGTTGAACTTACCGGTCATGGTAATAATTTTGGCGTCATAAAATCCTGCGCGCGTTCGGTCATCCCCACGCCACCAACATTCGTAAATGCAGTCGGCATCAAAATCGTCCACATTTTCGGGGTTGAAGTCCTTGATGGAGGAACTAAGCACCGTTTTCTTCACGCCATCCAGGACGTACTTTATGCACACGAAGTACATTATGAGATCGGGCACGGAAATAAAAAGCGGAGCAAAGGTAACGAGCAAAATGACGAATTCACACAAAAGGAGGAAACGGAAATCCTTTCGATTCGGAAGTCGGTGGAGTTGCGTGCAATGTTAGTTTAGTAGTCAAGTAACTCGGTGACTCACCCTCACTGGTTACTACAATAAACATAAATATGTGGTTCAAGTGTTATTTTTATTGAATTGTACTTGTCTGGATTGATAAATAAATAAACATTAAGTATGTTCCAACGTCTTCAACACTTTAGCAACAAAGCACATATCCAGGCGTGACGCAAATGCGCACCGCGGGTGGCGCTGGCGCTGGCGCGCTGGGGCTACTACGTGAGTCGTCTGCTCTTTCGCAAACCAACGAGTAGAAACTTAATTTAAGAGTTATACTTATACATCCTCCCTCCCCTAATTGAAAGCTGTATTTCAAACACACTCATCGGTAGACGATTGAGCGTATAGACAACAATAAACGGCATGCATAAAAAATCAGACGGACGCGGCAGGCGAAACAGAACCTCTTTAACATCCTCTCTCAACTTGTCCTGCTCCTCCTCCTCACCGGTGTTGTTAATTAAGCGTTTGCTTTCAGTTGCTTTCTTCCATTCGCGTTTTCGCTTTCGTTTAGTGTATTCAGCAGTTACTTCGCGACTGCGGAAGATATTTATTTCTTTTGATATTAACGTGTTCTGCAAGAACGAAATGACCTCTCAGAAGCGCAAGAGCTACCGAGCTTACCTGGAGCCTGATGCTGCTTGCGGCAAGGTACCACGGCAGACCCGTTTCAACGAACGAGTGCGGAAGTCGCAAACTTCGACGACGACCACCCCGACGGTAAGTAATTGTTTAATACGAGCAAATTTATTTTAAAAAAAATTTATACATATTGGGCACAACAATATTAATAGCATCACGTCCCGGGATTCGAACCCGAGACCTCAAGTTCTGCAACAGAACGCCCTATCCCTTGAACTAATGCTTTCTTCTTTTTTTTTTTTCTTTTTTGCAACAAAACAAGTGTACTTACTTATTGCAGTTACACGTAACATGAGTGGACATTTTTATATGTTTAGTAATTCTATTATAAGGACAGAGAGACAAAAAAAAAAAAAAAGTCAGTCCCGGTGTACAGATCACAAGATAACACAAACAGAACAGAAAGTGCGACGCATTCAGCACCTAATGTTGACAGCGGCGCTCACGGAGATTATGGTTTTCATTAATAAATGTAGAGGTACTTAGGCTAGGGCCCGTATGCCGTATGCATGAGCGTCTGCCATCCAGCGACCATACACGGGGGACCCCCTATACTCCGTTCCACCTTCAGTCCGAGCGCAGTGGACGCCACGAGCTGTCCCAGCCGATCCAGCGCCGGGAGGAAATCGCGTGACCTGCCGGTTGGGCAGAGCGACGCAGGGAGCTCAAGGTCACATGACACTCTCTCCACGCTGGATTGGCTGGGATGGCTCCTAGCGTCCGCTGCGCTCGGACTGAAGGTGAAACGGAGTATAGCAACGACGCTCACGCCGGATTGGCTGCTCGGCAACGCGCGGGAACTTCAAACTTCTCCATTTGGAGAGGGAAAGCAGAAAATAGAGCAACATAACAGTTGCCTGAAACTTAAATTGCGGATTCGGACGGCGCGCGTATCACTGGGAAACGTGAGAATGGCATTCTTTTTTTCCTTTCTCTGCTTTAGCTGATGGCCCACAAAAACAACACTGAACTACAATAGGCTCAATTTCATGTCTTGCCATTTATAACTCTTGACTGAGTTAAGATTTTTTCCATATTTCTATAAAATATGAAGGTTGCATCATCACAGTTTGGCATACGCTGAGCTCGACAAATACCAACTCACTGCATAAAATTATTTTTATTTTAGAAAGCACTGAAGTTGATATTTCAGGCGACAAAAATCTCTCATTTAGAGGAGACTCAAACCTAGCTGCTACTAATGGAGAAAACAACCTGCTTAAAACATGCAATGGTACATTTATCTTTTTCATGTCGGATGCAGACACTTTTTATGTGCTCATTTGGTTAAACCTAGCTTGTAATTAAGCATACGGATACAAAAATATAATCAAAATGTGCCAATAAAGCAAAATACACAAAACCAAAATGTGTCCAGCAGACAGCTTGGATGCAGTGGCGCTGTCTTTAGTGCTCATGTACACACACTTCGCTCATCTAGAAAGAGCTCCTGTGCATGCGCAGTTGATACAGATCCTGTGGTCAAACCCACACGTTTATGAACAATGAGTTGGTGAAGGCATCCGCCTACAAAACATAGCAGTTTTTATGTTTCTCTTCTGTTTGGCACGTTATGTTTCGGCTTTAGGTGGTATAGCAAATGCACACCCCAAAGATGCTTTTTGTTGAAGTTACACTTCCCTATATCGATCATCTATATTTGTTACACAATTTATAAAAAAAAAATGCATAATGAAGCTATAACAAATAATGAAGAGCAGGATTTTCATTAATACTTTCTCACTTTATTAATTTACCCATTGCTAACAAGAGTGTTAAAGTGCTCAATCATAAAGCATTTTTTTTTCAACATATTTTGAATGCTTTTTGCTTCCTTTCCATTGCAGATTCAGTCTGATGGGCCAGGAAGTGGCCCTTCTACTGCAGTAGACGACCATGATGCCTCTTCAGATGATGAAATGGAAACAATCATGAGCGAAGCATCCTCATCAGCTGATGAGTCCTCATCGAGTGATAACTGCTTATCGGGTGACGAATCCTCATCGGGTGATGAAGTGCCATCGTCACCTAATCAAGAAGAAGCCTGTGCAGATCCGGATGGAGATGTGCACGAGTTTCTAAAGAAGTATGCGGAAGAAAAACTTCCCCATCAAGAAACCCTGAAGGTTCAAGCGATACTGCTCATCCTGACTTATGTCGTCTCCGCAGGATTGTCCTGGGTTCAGGTGGATGGGCTTTTGAAGCTTGTTAACACCCTTTTTGGAGAAGTGATTCTGCCAGGCTCAAAATATGCGTTCAGGAAGCTCTGGGAAATCAGAAGGAAGAATATGGTAACGCTGAACTTTTTTTGTGAAGTATGCCATTTTTACCTGGGTTCGTCAAGCTCTGCAAATACGTCTCTCACATGTGGCGAGTGTGGGAAGACGTACTCTTCACAGGTCCTAATCAAGAATGGTTGTTTTTTTCTCACATTTGATATCAAGAAGAAGCTGGAGCATATGCTGAAGGACGTGGGACAGGCGCTTGGAGACAACTTGTCGAGATTAGCAGCGTCAGCACAGTCAGAGTCTTATTCGGACATCACTGATGGCAGCCTGTACAAGGCCATGCGTGACAAGCTCAACATGGCACTTTATGACATCACAATATCATTCAACAGCGATGGTTCACCCGTCTTCAAGTCCAGTAAAGCGTCCGTGTGGCCCATCCAAATGACCATCAACGAACTGCCGGTCTTCTTGCGATGGAGGCACATTATAGTGAGTGCAATCTGGTTCGCGAAAGAACACCCCCCAATGCACCTCTTTCTGAGGCGTTTCACGAGTGAACTTAACAAGGTTGGAACTTTGGTGTGGGAATATGGAGGTCAAACAGTGAGGTCACGTGTGTTTGCACTCTGCTGCTGTGTCGACTCTCCTGCAAGAGCAGCTGTCCTCAACAGGAAACAGTTCAATGGATACTATGGCTGCTCTTGGTGTTTCCAGAAGGGGACCCTTGTCGAAGGTATGTTGCATGAGAGTAGATCAATGCATGTAGCAGTTATGTTGTAATTTGAGAGGCTACAATAGCAGCGAAGAGTGTGACTATCTGTTGCCCTCAAGAAATGTTTGGACGTTTCAAATAGTACTAATAATCAAGGAAAAGGATGTTAAAGGCCCTTATAATTCAAACTCATCGAAGGTACAGGATATGAAATCAGTAACTATTCTTTCAAGCAAAACTGAATGTAAGTTGTTACACTGCAAGTGATTTTTTATGACATATTAAGAAGACACACTTATTTAATTGTCATCAAAGTAAACAGAGTCATAAACCAAACTTGGTCATACTGACTGTTCACCATCTAGTAGGGTGCACAAAAGATGCCATGACATGATGTGATGCGTGGCATTACAAACAGAACTTTGAAGGGAGATTCTTGTGCTTGCTGTACCTGCACATTTCTACATTCTTTGTCCTTAATTGCCACACAATTCTGGCATTGTAGTACAACAATAATAATAATAAGTGATTATATTGTGCATGTCCCCGTTCCAGATGATTCCACATGACAGCACGTAACGTTCCGAAGGTTTCGGCTCATGAAACACAGCCAGATGGAATATCAGTAAATGCATATTTTAGATTTTTGAATATTTTATTTTATGTAATCATGTCAATGCATATGGAGCAAAATGAGAGAGAAGTCATGAGCCACCTACTGGACAGCAGTGAAAAGGCAGACACAGTAGATTCGGAGGCTCATGAGCCCCAGCGTATGTAGTGGAAACTAATGATGTCACATGCATAGAGTGCAATCTATCCTTTTGGTCAATCACCTGTTGCGTGGGCATGCACCTCTTGAAATAATTTACTTGCAAATCTTGGGTTGTTTATTAGAATTTCATGTAATAAAGGTATAGTACTTAGTTAACTATGCATATATACTGCCTGATAGGAATACAATGCAAAATTGTATCCCTGTATTCAGATACTGCATGGAAACCACTTCAGGTATTTGGTGTATTTGACCACCGGACTGCAGCAACATGTCCGAATTACACAAGAGGCATCTCCTGGCCTAATGCTAGCCTTCTTCTGACAACCTGCATCCTCATTAGGGATGAAGCTAGGTTGCCATAAGGGACATAATTTCATGCATGTCTATGTGCAGTTTTTATGTGACGTCAATCTGGTCACCATGCCCAAAGCATACCATTAGTACAGTGGAAGATACATTGGCGTGT